TTTGCTTGTGCTTTGTAAAACAGAGGGCATTGTTTCCATGCAAGTGCTCTTAAGCATGAGATGCCCTGGAGGAACAGCAAACTAAAATGTTCATGACCTCTCTCTGTCCCCGCCCCTCCTTTGCCTCTAAATGCCTGGGACAATTTTTGCCATTGAGAAATAAATATTTAGTCTTTTTGATACAATGTACATAGTGAGATGTGTTGCACAAATAATGTCAAAATATAAAATTGTCCATGTTTTTTCTCAAGAAAGAAAGAGATGAAAAGGAAACAAAATTTATGGAAAGGAAAGTTTTTTTTTTCTTCATATTGTTTGTTTCCTTTCCCTCCATTCTCTTCTTTTTTCTTGATTCATTATTAGAATCGTATTATGTGTTGACCACTGATCAGTTCTAAAATAGCTCTGAAGTGTCGAGGCTTGGACTCCACAAAACCTCTGAACATGTTTAACACAATTTTGTTGTTCCAGCACACACAGATGCACACAGATGCTCACAGATGCTCAATTGGATTGAGATCTGGGGAGTTTGAAGGTTAAGATCTGAAAGAGGCCACTGCCGCCAGGGAACACCATTGCCATTAAGGGGTGTACGTGCACTGCAACAATTTCTAGGTGAGTGGTATGTGTCAAAGAAAAATGCACATGAATACCAGGACCCATGGTTTCCCAGAAGTACATTACCAAGAGTAGAACACTGACTCCACCACTCTGCTTTATTCCCATAGTGCATCCTGCTAAGCTACACACAGGCACCCAGCCATCCACCTGATCTAAAAGAACACATGATACATCAGACCAGGCAACCTTCTTCCATTGCTCCATGGTCCATTTCTGGACCAATAAAAAAGCTGGTCGGTCTGCAGCTATGCAGCCCAATAGGCAGCAAACTGCAATGCACTGTGTTCTGACACTTTTCTATCACATTACACATTACGTTTTTCAGAAATGTAAACTACAGTAGCTCTTCTTTGTGATCGGACCAAACAAGCTAGCCTTTGCTCCCCAAATGCATCAATGAGCCTTGGGCAACCATGACACTGACGCCAGTTCACTAGTTGTCCTTCTTTGCACCCCTTTTGGTAGGTGCAAACCACTGGATACCGGGTGCAACCCACATGATTTGCCATTTTGTAGATGCACTAACTCAGTTGTCTAGCCATCACTATTTGGTCCTTGTCAAAATCACTCACATCCTTTTGCTTGCCCATTTTTCCTGCTTCCAACACACGCAGTTCAAAAAGTGACTGATCACTTGCTAACTTATATATCCCACCTCTTGACAGGTGCCATTGTAACAATATAATCAATGTTCTTCACTTCACATGTCAGTGGTTTTAATGTTGTGGCTGATCAGTATAGTATTGTTTAGTGAAAATTGGTGTCTTTTATTCATTTGACAAAATGTGTTTATTTCACCTTGTATGTTTTGATGCATTTCATGAAGAATTAAAAAAAAAATTCACATCATATCAAAAAATATAATGCAAAAACACACTTCAAGCAAGTTAGAGATTTCTTTCTACTTTGACCTGAAACTTATAAAGGACTTGCCAACTCAACACATTTATCTAAATATGTTAGTGAATAAGCACAGTTATGCCTTTAAACATATTAACAAGGTAAGTGAAGTGTTATTTTCAACACAGATTTCTGTTATTTTTTTATTATTATTTCCCTTGTCCTGTTATGTAATATACTAGTGAGCTAAATGGACTCTGTCTCCCCAAAGACATGTGGATGATAATGTCCGCTTAAAGCAAGTATGTATATCTGGTCAACACGTTTTACTAAATCACAAGCAATTGCTCCCATTCATGATGGCCCCCAGTGGTTACGTGATAATCTATTCACAAATGTTGTGTACAGGATCTCATGATGGCTAGCATATAACTTTATAACATGCATTGCAAGATGTTGCCCATAATATTTGAGGTTAGATGCAGTAGGGCAGGGGTGCCCAAAAGGTAGATCCCCAGATCGTAGAACTACAGCTTCCATGATGCTTTGTTAATCTAAAGCATTCTAAAGGTATGCAAAGCATCATGTTGTAGTTCTGCAACATTTGGGGGTCTACCTTTTGGGCACCCCTGCACTAGGGTATATTTATCCATCCTGGACAATATTTGTGTTCTCCTTCACGTAGTGATTACCGTATATACTCGAGTATAAGTCGACCCGAATATAAGCCGAGGCCCCTAATTTTACCACAAAAAAACTGGGAAAACTTGACTTGAGTATAAGCCTAGGGTGGGAAATGCAGCAGCTACTGGTAAATTTCTAAATAAAATTAGATCTCAATAAAATTACATTAATTAAATATTTATTTACAGTGTGTGTATATAATAAATGCAGTGTGTGTGTTTGTGTGTAGTGTGTGTATATAATGAATGCAGTGTGTGTGTATATAATGCAGTGTGTGTTTGTGTGAATGCAGTGTGTGTGTATATAATGTAGTGTGTGTCTATAATGCAGTGTGTGTTTGTGTGAATGCAGTGTGTGTATATAATGCAGTGTGTGTTTGTGTAAATGCAGTGTGTGTATATAATGCAGTGTGTGTGTGAATGCAGTGTGTGTGTTTGTGTAGTGTGTGTGAACTGGGTGACGGGAGGGCATTTTTATTATATTCATTTTTTAATTTTAATATTATTATTATTATTTTAATATTATTATTATTATATTTTAGTATTATTATTTTATTTTAATATTATTATATTTGAATATTAATATTATTATTTGAATATTATTATTATTTGAATATTATTATTATTTTATTTTAATATTTGTATTTTTTTTTTTATTTAATTGTTTTTGTCCCCCCTCCCTGCTTGTTGCCTGGCCAGGGAGGGGGGCTATGTTAATCCCTGGTGGTCCAGTGGATGGGCTGTGTAGTGGGGGGGCTGGCAGAGAGCTGTTACTTACCTTTCCTGCAGCTCCTGTCAGCTCCCTTCTCCTCCGTGCAGCTCCTGTCAGCCCCTGTCAGTGTAAGTCTTGCGGTCTGTGTGCCGCACGGAGCGTTGCCACGGTAATCCATGGCAACACTCCGACGGCCGCAGGTGTCGCGAGACTTACACTGTAAGCAGAACAGAGCTGCACGGAGGAGAAGGGAGCTGACAGGAGCTGCAGGAAAGGTAAGTAACATCTCTCTGCCAGCCCCCAACAGGACCGCCGGGCTTGTAATGAGCCTGGCGGTCCTGGTCTGTATTATGGTAATGTAAATTGCCATAATACAGACCTTGACTCAAGTATAAGCCGAGTGGGGGTTTTTCAGCAGAAAAAATGTGCCGAAAAACTCGGCTTATACTCGAGTATATACGGTAATAAGAAATGAGCCATTAGTCATATTTTGCCAAATAATAATAATCATGATTTGTGATATGATGATTTTCTGAAGAAAGAGAGACAAAGCAATAGCTTCAATAGCACATAACATAAAATAGTATTAAATATGCATTTAAGTTAATTTACTCCTTCATTGATTCTCATGTGTGCCCACATTCTTTACAAAATAGTTTTCTCACAGTGTGGAGTGAGGATGTCAAGGGGTAGTTTAATAAAAAAAATGTAAAAAAAAAAACTCATTTCACATTCAAGTAACTGGTACAATAAGCATACATCTTTTTAATCACATCAATCCTTCTTATTCCAATTAGCATAGCAGATTGACCTTTACTATCCTTCTACAGGCCATGTTAATAGTGCTGGCATAAGAGCCCCATAGACTTGTTACTGATGATTATGATGAGCCTAATTAAAGAATTTTATAGATGGAAAAGAAAAAACAATCATACCTCCCAAACACCCTGAATCCAGTGAGACAGCCTTAATATGGAATCTGTGTCTTATCAGCTCGGTTAATTCTCTGCTATGTCTATTCTCAGGAACACCAGAGAAAATTCTATGCCTCTCAAAATGTTGTCAAAATTTAAAGGTTTGTCACAGGGAGAGTATCAGTGATTTAGCAAACATTATAAGGACGTACTAGTGATGTATGGGAGACATTACTGCCATGAACAAGGAGTTAGCTAAGTGTGAAAGATTTACAGAGCCCGAAAAGTGCCACCTAAAAAGTTTTACATTTCTCATGAGCACGATTTAGTAAATCATGCCCATAATAAAGTACTGCTTTCCCACAATATAGTTAACAACTAAGCATGCTTAAGCAGGTTCATGCACATAAAATAATTAAATAATTTTATCTCACGAGATAGTTCATAGCACATGAATGCAATTTAGATAACGAGTGCAAATGATCTACTAACTCACATGCACATTATAACTATATCACTATGAAATCATTGCTTTAGATTGCACAGCACATGTACAACTCTAGTTGCCTATATATATATATATATATATACATTGTGGCGGAACCAACCTCGCCACTGTGCACTGGAGGAGCCTGGTTGCCTGCCTGCTGCCTTTTGACTATGGACCGGCATTTAAATACTTTATTTTCCTATGCAGAAAGGTCTATTCATGTATTTCTGCCCTGACGTTCGGTAGATTCTCGGATTTACTTAATAAACTCATTTAACCCAGATAACTATGCCATGGAGCCTATTTGTGTAATAAAAATGGCTCCATGGCAATTGAACTGGATGTGTGTGGTCTGATCGCCATTCAGTAATAATGTGCGCCCAGACCTAAGCTATCTGGGGATATGTTGCATGTCTGTATTTTATGTAATAAATGTAACCTTGTATATTTTATTGTATTTTACTGTCTTTGTACTGCCATGTGCTTAATGGAGTTTTGCCTCTGTCCTTGGAGATAATTGGATTACTTCTCAATTATCTCCAGGATAGAAGACTCTGTGGAACTGGTTTTGGGCAGAAAAGCCATGCTTCATTTGGTCACAAAAGACTTTGATCTATCTTTTGAACCAATGGACCAATTTGGATGACATATGTTTGTATTTGGGGTATGCTGATTTGGAAAATGTAAGTTTTATGTGAATTTGATGCATACTTTTATACAATTACCTTACACAATGGGTAATGTAATTATCACCGGCAGAGAAATACAGTTTTTCCACATCATTCATATTTTTAAAATATGAATAATGTGGAAAAACTGTATTTCTCTGCCGGTGATAATTACATTACCCATTGTGTAAGGTAATTGTATCACAGGCAGAGGGGAGGATTTTGTGTGGGAGTGTCTGAGTGTATTGTACGTGTTTATTGGTTGTTTTCAAAAACCCTGTGGGTAGTACTATGTTTGTGGATTGTGAATAAAAAAGGCTATATGTGCCAGTACAGTCAGTTCTGCTTGACCTCAAAACGAAGTGTTGTCTCGTTATTGGGGGGATTGGATTGCATGCTGATTGCCAGGAGTGTAAGCAGATTGTATGCTTTTCCTGTTCAGCTGCTTACAGCATTCATATGCTTGAGAGCATTCAATGCTTCTCCGGTTCAGTGGTTGTGGTGTCTGCTGCAGTGCTTGGAGTCCTCATTAGTAGGCATGGCTGTGATGGCTTTTAAGGGCACATGAGTCAAACGCTTGTTGAGTGGCTGCCCTGCAGCCTTTCAAAACGCGTCATTAGATTGCCGAACACCGAACTCCAACCCGAACATACAGTGATATGTCCGTGTTGGGTCCGGGGTCCAAAAACCATAATGTTCAGTACGAACCCAAACTTTTCATTTCGGGTTCGCTCAACTCTACTCACAACGTTGTGAGTGGCAGTGGGTTCAAAAAATTTGCCTTTTTTGTATCTTGGAGTGCCTGGACCGTTTTCTATTTTCTCCTTATCATATGTTTGGTTTCTGGTACTGGAAGTGCATTGGTTGCACCTGGATACATACTACTTGGGAATGAGTACAGTTCCACATCTTTATTTTGGTCATAGATAATGTATTGGACATAACATCCACAGTAAAATAAATGACTTGTGTAACAGATTTATATGACAGAATCCTCTGTTGTAGGTTGAACAGACTGAGAGGTTTTTAAATTGGAAATTAGATTTTCCTCAGTAGAAGAATATTTCACATTAGAAGAGGGTGAGATATCTTACATTGGAAGCCTTGGATTTTGGCATAATAATCCAACATTTTAAAACACTGGGGAATAAAACAGTAAAGAGAAGATTACAAGAGTTGTCCTGACTAAAAAAAGTAACTTTCTAGCAGGGTGATAGTGAAATAAGCTCCTAATAAAGACCAGTGAAATTGATAAGAAAAAACTGAACCACCGTCTATTAGGTAGGACTCCCGAAAACCCACAAATGGCAGTTCAGCTGAGAGAATAAAGTCCTGAAGCGATTGGTGCACTCGTCCTATCAAAACAAGTGTTGCATTGCTTTCTGGGCAACCTTGCAGTATTGAGCTCTAAAAAATTGCACACGAGAAGTTAAAAAAAAACCCTGATAAATCGTGCATGGCCGTGACTTTGTGCAACATCAAGGTGCCCAATAATAACAAAAGTAACCAGAAAAAGACAGAAACCAAAAACTGAAAAAAGAGCAGATACACAAATTGTTATGTGCAATGAACTACATAAAGATATGGGGCGGGGGGGATGAATTTCTAAATTAAAAAAAGTAATATCATACATACAAAGAAAATACAATCAAATAAAAGCAAAAGAAAAACTAAAAGAAAAGTAATGCAACAAGATAACAATTTAATAATTACTTAGTTTAAAGACGTATTGAGTACTATTATTGAGGAGTAAGTGTTGAACTATAAAAGAATAAGTAGAGCCAAGGTAGGTTTAGGATGGCCAGATCAAGTCATATTAGCTTTTGTGTGCTATACAAAAACAGTAAAATTATAGATCAAGCTTTAGTAAAGGATATGATCTACTTCATTGTACAAATTGAAATAAATAGGTTTAAAGGACATTTTTAAATTTGAATGAAACTTGGTGTGCCATTTTTTAAAAAGACAATAGGAAACAAGTGAATGGATATTACATAACATTCATTAGGGAGAAAGGTTGGCAAACGTTCTTTAGTTTACATTAAACCCTTAAGGACACATGACGTAAATATTCCGTCATGATTCCTTTTATTTCTGAAGTTTTGTCCTTAAGGGGTTAAAAAGAGGATATGCAAACATTTAACAAATATATACAAACCATTGCCATTGTGTCCTGTTTATTAATTGTATCTTACAAAGAACTAGAGAACACAAATTGAGATATATAAAAGCATTATTTTAGTGAAGTGTACACATTGTGAGTCCAACCTAGAAGTTGTCTGAACATGCCATTTACCCAAGATATATAACCTGCTGTATAAGATAGAGGTCTTAAACATGTACTATCACACAATCCTACACCGTCTTTGACATATTGCATTTGATTGCCCTAACTCACTCTCAGGAACTAAGAAACTGAGGAATTTCAACACCTTACACAACACTCACCTGCATTGACATGTCATTTGAGAAATTTAGCCCACACAAATATCTTCTAAATGAGAGAAAAAACAGGAAACACATATTTTCATAACAAACAATAGTATATGCAATATGTGGAAACGTAGGGTTATGTACACCAATACACTCATTCTTGATTATTTTTTAATGAGATATCAACGACCATACATTGCACATGAAATATATTGCAAAATAATTAATAATGATATAAACGAAATAATTGTTTTGATTTATTTAAATCTATTCTAAGTCATGCCAAAATATACAAAGCTTGATATACTTTATATACTGAAATTATTATTTAAAACTAACTAATTAAATGAAAATTAAATTTGCATTTAAATGGTATGGTTAGCAATACGGTTATCTGTAATCTCATGTAAGTGATCAACAACCACCTCTGAAATGTCCCCCCACATACTGAATATTACATTGGTGCTCCTATATATAATAGACAACAATGATAAAATAAACACAGAACAAGATACAGAACAACATATCTGAGACCTTTCTGTTTCTAATACTAAGAAAATGTGACTTGCTCTATTTTAGTTCTGCCAAAGTTCAATTATCTCACAAGACAAACAGAATATTTTAAGGAAACATTGTTTTATTGCTATTTTAAGATAAATAACAGTGTAGATATCACCCATTTAACTAGAAAGGCCAAAGATGTGAGCAGCATTTATAAGGGCACTCCAGACCTCTTTAGCTTGCTGAAGAGTTTATGTGTGGAGTATGTACTCTTTTTTTTAATTTAGCAAAAAGTGCAGATTTCAACAGAAATTGACATTTTTATAAATTAACACAATCATGCCCACTGGCTTTCAAGCAGACAACAGGTCATTTTACTTCCTGGTTAGGTTAGCTTAGTTGCACTGAACTCAAGAGGCAGCAATTGCCCACTGCACCTGCCTTGCAATGACTTCTCATTGAGCTACATTGGGAAGTCTGTGATTGGACAATCACATAAAGTCTGGGCGGGTTTAGAAGGGGAGGACTTGCAAAGGCAGTAGACAAGAGAACTGAAGGTTTTGCAAGCTGTTTTAGATATACCCACAGTGAAAAAATGCTATATGAAATGCATGCTATTTAGGGTATAAAACAGTAATTTTTATTTATTTTGTATTTGGGCAGGGAGCATCCCTTAATAAATAGGGCTGGGCAGTGGTTTGGGAGTTATATAGAAAACTCCAACATCTGGGTCATAGAATAAATCTATGGGATACTTACTTAATATATTTTTACCGTTGAGTGCTGAGTGAGGCTCACTTTCTAATTCCCATATTAATTGCTTTGTCCTTTTTGGGGGACTCTCTATAATAGGTTTTCGCAATGCTACTTTCTACTCTACACTATTTCAAAGAATCCTAGGGGATCATACCACCTACGCTGTTGTCATAGACCAGTCAGCCTGCACTATATATTGAGCATATTTTATTATATGTTATACCAGTAATATTTTATTGAGAGCACTATTGCTGTTTTTATCTTTCATTTAGGTTTCTGTTACCACCATCTTTAATCTCTATCACTTCAGCTGGAAGGCTATTCCATGCATCCACTACCCTCTCAGTAAACTAATACTTTCTGATATTATTTTTAAACCTTTGCCCCTCTAATTTAAGACTATGTCCTCTTTTTGTGGTGTTTTTTCTTCTTTTACATATACTCCCCTCCTTTACTGTGTTTATTCCCTATATGTGTTAAGATCCTTTAATCTTTATTGGTAAGTTTTACCCTGCAATCCATGAACCAGGTTTATATAATCTATATAAACTAATGATGTTAGAAAAAATAAGTATTGAGATGTGGAACCTAGAATGGTTTGATATTCTATAATTATATTAGTGTATGCCGACAGAACATTGTCTCACAAATAGTGAACAGGCATTTTTTATATCTAGCATATTCATTACAGTTTATACTTTCAGAAACAGTCTATAAACTTAGTATTTAGTAGACCTTCATTTTTAGTGGTGTTACAGGCATGCCTTCTTTTCATTATCCTATTGCATTATGTATGTGTATCTGATATATATAAAATCTCTTACTGTAGTGCAAAAACAATAATTTAATGATGCCTGATGCCTAATGACAACTGATACAAGTCAGGTATAAATTAATGATAGTGCATACATTTTGACAGTCAAAAATATAATATATGTTAGAAACTATAGTTTGCAAAACCTGTAGGACAAAAACTGCTTTTTTATGAGTCTTCAGCAGCGACTGAGTTAATGGAACAGGCAAATGCATTTTTAACCAGGACATATCTTGTATTTTAAAAGTTATTGAGTAATCAAATATTATGACCTATATACTCCACTAGAGAATCTACCCCAGTCGGCATAGGATCCAAAATAATCAATATTCCATTACAGAGCTGGCAGCTTGCACATAACAGCAATGCACTCAACTTTTGTTTTCTCTCCAATAATAGAGATAGGGCAGATTCACAAATTACATTTTATATAGATCTAGTGGGCTGGGCCTGTTTTCTGTTAACATATTAAAAAAAAAACACAGAGTCTTTTCTTCCATGTAACCCTTGATTGATGGCAGACATTGATTTGAGAAATTGTTTTAATTAAAATATTACAGTAGTAATAATTTTTAAAGATGTTCTACTTGAGCTGTTGGAAAGGTCAATATGTATCTTGTTCCTTTTTTCCCTTCTTCTAACTTAGCCATGTGAAATAATGAAAGT